CTAGGCCAGAAGAGCCAAGGAAATGAGAAGCCAATCTAATGAGTGACTTAGTGAGAAATGCATACTTCTGAAGGTAACTGAAGAACTAGGCAATTGTATGATACAGGAGCAAGGGCTCTGAGGTCACTTCTTTTAAGCTATGAAGTCATTGACTAAGCAACCACAAATAGGACCCAGCATCTCTAGGGGACTCAGACAAGAATCAAGTATGCTCCACCTATAAACTCAAGAATGCTGAGAAGCAACCACCAAATTTACTTGAAATGATATAGTTTTCTTAGGTGGGGGTGAGAAGAATCACTCAATGTCTGCAGCTCTGTGTCTCATACCCAAAGGAAATTTCTGGTAGTGATTTGCCTTGGTTACCTGGGATGGTTACTATCTTCTTTAGTGGGTGTGTATTTTTTCAACCCTGGTTCATCAGTCAGGGGCTAGTCAAAGGACAAAGGCAATATCAGTTATTTTAACAGAGAGAATTTAATATAAAGAATTATTAATTAGGAATTGGACAAATAAAATGGCAAAGAAGGGACCCAGAGGAATCACAGAGGTGGCAACTACACGAAGCACCTACCATCCTTAGAAGTGGGGAAACAAAAAGAAGTGTTAGGGGATATTGAAATTTAAAAAGTTAGAGGGAGGGACCTCAGAGGGCTTCGGAATTCTAAGGAGGGGCCCCAGGCTGGACAGTGCTTGTATGTCTAAGGGGAGATGTTGAGGCTGGTTCTGGGAATGTGGATAAGCTGCAAACAGTAACTCAATACTGCTGCTGTACCCAGCTGTCTGTGCCAGGCGACGTAGACAAAGACAGGATGAGCCCAGCTCTTCTCCCTCCACCAGTCCCCCAGGCTCTCTCTCTAGCGCCCCCAAGTGGCAGAACCTACCAGGGACCCAGCTGACAAAGCAGCAATGTGGTTTGCAGAATCCCAATCACAGCATCGCAAAAAAAGGAAAAGTCTGGAAACAGAGAGACAATAGCTCACCAACACTCCAGGAGTTTAGATTTAAGCATAGAAATTTTTAAAAGAAACAAAACCATAGCACTAATATTTTATATTAGGAAGGAATATGTGCCTATTTGGTGTTTCAGAATGTGATATTTAAGAGAATAAAGCCCATTAGAGTAACAGTTTTACAACTCCACTTTAAAATATATAATTGAGAATTAATTTAGATTTGTGACTTTTATGGTGACATCTAAGTTTAATTCGAGTATAAAAACATTTCAGAGGGCTTAGATTTCTTTTTCAATTTATTAGCTTCTATAAGAGTTTAAAATTTGGCATGATTTTGCTTGCTGTCAAAAAAACCAAAGTACTTAATAAATAAATAAATAAATGTATTAAATTTCTAAATTTGTTTAAAAGTGTATGAAGTGCTGAGCTATGCTTGTAAATAAGAGCAAGCATTATTCAAAGACTCCTCAAAGTTATTGCTAAGATCTGCTAGACTTATAAAATAGAATAAAATTTGTAAGCTGAATTTCAAAGCATAAAAAAGTTTAAACTTTGCATCTGAAATGGATGATTCTAAAGACAAAATTATATTATTTATTAAATTATTACTAATTGTTGAACTTATTACTTTTTAAAAAACAAATTTTAACTTGTTTTTTTTAAAAAGCACCGAATCTTTTTCTACATAAGAAATTTACTGTCCAGGATACCAGAGTCCCCCAACCCCACTCCTTACGCCATGAGGTTTTCTAGAAATGGTTGCAGAAAAGTAACGGATGCAGCTTTGTTCTTCAGCTTTTCTAGAAACCCTGAAACATCTCTTACCTTGTGGCCAACTGAGGAGATTATGCAGCTGGCTTAGCTATTCTTCATTTTCTATCAGGCTAGGGTACCCCCTAGAATAGAAAGGGATACCACTGGACTTGGGGTGAACCTGGGGTCAAGTCCCAGCTCCATTGCTTGAAAGACCCAAGGCTCAGTTGGCTCATCTCCAAAATGGGGGTGATACCTGCCTTGCAAGTTGTTGTAAGGAATGGCATAGTACTCGGCCCTCATGCTAGATTCCTGACTGCAGAGAGGCCTGGGGCAAGGAGGTTCTTGCCTGAGCTCGCTGGCCTGGGACACTCCCTCTTACTTCTTGGGAGGAGAGCTTCTTCAAAGAGATGGCCCTGTGGCAAACAACAGGTGCTCTCACTCTCCCTCAGGCAGGTGTCCCAGGTCCCCAAGCAATCAGACAGGGGGAAGGTCAAGACAAATTGCTTGCTCTGGAGCAAAACATCATCCCTGTGAATAGGGTTAACTCTCTGCAGGGAGGTGGCAGACATTGGCTGGAGCAAAGGGGAGGATTTGCAAGAAAGGCTCAGAGTTCTGCCTGTGTTCACTGGGTCACCTGGCCACACAACCTCATTTGGAACATGCTTGGAGAGAGCCATGAGGGGAAGATCCCTACCTGGAGAAAAAGGAGAGAGTGTCCTTTCTGTACATACCTGGGAGGGACAGGGTGGAGATCAGAATTATGCCATCCCATTCATTTGTTCAATGAACATGACTTAAAAACTTCTCTGTATCATGAAGCCCTAGGCCTGCAGATACAAATCCTACACAGCCTTGCCTTCCTGGATTAAGCCCCTGAGAATGTGTAGAGGTTGAAGTGGCTCCTTCTATCTGGAGAAGTAGTGGGGTGAGCCCCCAGGGAGAGGGAACAGTGGGAGCATGGCAGGGGGTGTGGAGATGGAAGGCAGCTTCCTGGCATGATGAACAGTCCTGGTGAAGCTGTTGGTCTCCAACTTAGGGGAGTCAAAGAGCAGCCAATGAGGCTGGGAAGGTAAGTGGGGCCAGATTGTGAAGGATACCGAAGTCAAGTTCAGGTGTATGGATTTTACTGAAAGCCAAGAAAAAGTTTAAAGCGCTGTTTGCATCTCAGATCAAATGGGAATGCACATAAGAGAGAGAGGGAGTCTGTATACAAATACAGGAAGTACCAAGTTGTGCAAGACCAGACTGGAGATGGTAAGGGCCCGATAGAAGGCAATGGGGCAATTAGAGGTTGGAGGCTGGGACTATGGAATCGTGGTCTCTGTGGGAATCTCGGCCATGGTGGGTGGAGGTCAGGCCATAAGCTCTCCAGGCCATGTCACCGGGTCTCCCCTGGACGCTGAGACCAGCACTTGTATGTTGCAGTTTCATCTTCACAGGCTCCCCAGTACACCCCATGGCAGGCCTTTCTCCTGCTGGGAGAGAGATGTCAGCAGGGGAGGCAGCAGGGCAGTACCCATGGAAATCTCCAGTCCAGCCGAGAAGGAATGGAGATGACAGCAAGCATGCCAGAGAGGACACCAATGTATCTCTGGCCAGCGGAGGGGCTCAAGGACATTTAAGGACTTTCAGAAGAGCTTCAGCCAACTTACCCCTGCTCCTTAGCATGAAGGCAGGGTCAGCCCCTGGGGTGGACACTTTTTGTCCATCTTACTTTCCTACTCCATAAGATTCCACTGGGCAGGAGGACAAGGAGTTTTCCGAGCAGCTAAGCTGGTCTTTCGGGAGCTTGCCACCCACAAAGAGTAATCAGTAGAAGCAGCAAAAACTAAAGATTATGTGGTAATCATTATTCTGTAGGGCAGAATAATGACTTCCCCTCCCCCATCAAGGATGTCCACATCGTAATTCACAGTACCTGTGTTATATCCTACAAGGCAAAAGGGACTTTGCAGGTGTGATTAAAGACCTTGAGATGGGAGATAATCCTGGAGCACCTGGATGGGCTCAATGTAATTGACAAGGGTCCTAGGGAGGCAGAATATAGTTTGCAGAGATGCTATGTGAAAGGGACTCAACCCACCATTCACTGCTGGCTTTGAAGATGGAGGAAGGTCATAAGCCAAGGAATGTGGGCAGCCTCTAGAAGCTGGCAGAGATAAGGAAACAGATTATCCCTTAAAGCTTCCAGAAAGGAATGTGGCCCTGACACCACCTTGATTTCAGCCCAGTGAGACCCTTGTCAGACTTCCAACCAACAAACTATAATAATAAAGGTGTTGTTTTGAGCTGCTAAGTCTGTGGTAGTTGTTACAGCGGTGAGCGGAAACAAAGCAGATCATAAGGCTGGCTCCTTGTCACTCAGGTCTTGGCTCAGTCAATGTGGAGAGAGACCTCCTTTGGCCATTCTGTCAACGGTCGTCCTTCACTCTTCAGTCACTGGCACTTTGCCATTTCATCCAGTGTTTGTTGTTTGGTAGTCACAATGTTTGTGTCGCCCTGATTTCCAGCCTTCCCCACTAGATTGTAAGCTCCATGATAGCAGGCACCTTGATTATTTGTCCATCACTATATCCCTAGTGCCAAGAAAAGTGCCTACACACAATGGAAGCTCCACAAATGTTTGGTGCATAGATGGGTGGAAAAATGAATATGGTGGTGCACTGCTATGTCATGGGCACACTAATGACATGAAACCTATTGAGGCAGAATGATCAGTGCTTATTTACTATAGTTATAACCTGCAAAGTCTCAACCAAAACATACACACTCTCCTTTTACACCCTACAGGATTGCTAATCAGTCAACCTCTTCAAAGGCTCTTAGTAACTAGCCTTTAGAGATCTCAGACTATTACTGCTATAGGCCTCCTAGAAGTATTTATGCAGAGTAAATCTTACAAATTTCCTCTGCCAAACAGAATCATAGGAGAATATATGAGATCGTCCATGTATATGGTAAGTGTTCCCTCTAGGTCAAATACTAGAGGGAAGAAAGGCCAAGCTGGTTTTAGAAAAAGCATTGGCTTCTCAGACTTTTTTCTGTATTTTCTAAGCTCCACAATCTGTTTCTACAGGAAACAAGTTGCCAATCCAGCTCAGGAGTGCAAACAAAACCCAGGGGAGATTGGCTGAGCTAAGGCTGCTGTCTGACTCTGGAGTGGAGGCAGCAGGAAAAGAGATGAGGAGGCAGAAGTGGGGGCAGGGAGTTGGAGGGAAGGATGCACCAAGATCTAATTTGACTGCTATACTTGCAAATTCAATCAAGACACCCTTGGGGCAACCAGCATGAGAAGAGGGTACCATGGACAAAATGTTGTTTATTGAATCCATTTTGGAAACAGACCATATGAAAGGTTTCTGTGAGCTCACTCGGAGTTAAGAGTCATGATTGCTTCCTGTCATTAAACGTCAACAATAGGAAAATCCTAGCATAAATAATGAAAATGAATCTAGGAAAGAAAAAGTGGTTAAAAACACTTTGGCTATCACTCTTCCAGTAGCTCTCTGATAGCTAACATGCCCATAAACATCAATACAATTTTTATAGGTACAGTCTATTTACTGCACATATATTGAATGTGTATATCAATGATAAAGTTGTAAACTGGCTAACCATCATCAGCAATTAAGTACACTGGGTCTATACTGATAGTCCCATTCTCATTTTAAGAGCTTATGTATTTAATTGATGACTCCACTCCTCATCAGGGACATTTAAGATATGGAAAAGGCATTTATACACACACACACACACACACACACACACACACACACACACACACACATATACCTATGATTAACCTTATAAACTGAAAAAGTAAACCCAAGCATCATTAATTACTTTGCCTGGATCAATAAATACTAGTCTCAAATGTTAAATGTACTTATCAGGACAGAAGCCATCAGTTACATAAATCATCATGTTGCTACCTACTGATGTTCCATTTGCTAATGCATGTTAGCCAATTTGTAGACTTTATCCAACACATATAGAGAGATTATTTTTTGTTTGAAATTCTTAGCAGATCAGCAGATCACCTTTGGACATTTCTCTCCCATCGCTCTTAGGATGAAAATGAAATAACTCTTAAAATTTCTAAATTCCAAGTCATCAAGAGCACAATTCTGATCATATTTCAAATCTTCACCCAGAAGGGAAATGCCATCAAGAGTTAGGTAAGCTTAGAAGTTGTCATCACCATGGCAGCTTAGACTGATCTTCACCTCCTCCCAGCACCCGCTTGCCGTATTGGAAGCCAAGGTAGCTCATCTCTTTGAGATTTCCTAAACACTAGTAGGAAGGGTCAGAGGGGGAGCCTTGTCTTTTTTCCTGGAGCTGTTATCAGTAAGATGGACAACTACAAAGAGGAGGCTAGGGATGCAAGGTGGATAAAAGCTCCCAGAGCTGGAAGGAGCAGTGGAAGGATGCGGCACAGTGCCAGGGCCTGCTTCCCCCAAGTGCTTCACGTGCTAGAAATTCCAGACCTTTCTTTTACCACAGGGAATAAACATCCCATCCCTCCAAAAGGTCCTGCCCACATATCCCCTCTCCATGCTTCCTGGAAAAATCCATTCCATTTTCCATGCTTCCTAGAAAAATCCATTCCATTTTCCATGCTTCCTGGAAAAATCCTCTGCCCATGAGGCAAACTGGGTCTCCCCATCCCAATGCAGCTTTTCCTAGAAACCATGAAATTTATAAATTTACACAGGCCATTGCAGATTCAAGTCCAGCTGCTTCCAGAGCTCTGTGACATAAGAGCCCTGCCTCCCACGGATCTTTATCCTGAACCACTTCCAGTCTCCTTTCCCAGGAGCTCTGCTTGTTTTAGTGTGAAGACTCACTCCATTGGAAATGAACAGTGCAAGATCCTACGTGCAAAATTTGCAAACTTTTTTTTTTTTTGAAATGATACACATTTAAAAAATTCAAGTCAAATCCAGGCAGAGGCTAGTTGGTTGGTATTAGTTGGCCCCTCACACCCACCGTAGGAAAGCATGGTGAGAAAGTCTGTTTCTGAAATGAGAGAGACAAGAGGCACCAGCTACTTATCTGGGGGTGAGTTTCTTCAGCTTGAGGGGAAGCCTGAGAGGGAAATGCTGAGGCTCAGTGAAAGACAGGGCAGCTTCAGCCTCGCAGCCTTCGTGGGCCAAAAGCCAAAGGCCTCTGTGCAGGCAGCACATAGGATCAGGATGTAGGTGAGGATAGCTCCTCACCCACCAGAGGCGTAACCGTTTCCCAGCAATTCTGAAACTAAAATAAGGAAGGCACATTCCCAGACCACGCTGGGTAAAGGGCTGCAGGCTGTTTTCACTCTACACAAAACGGGGGAGAGGAGATCCTCTCCACTCATTTTCCATCCATAAATCTCATCGCAAGGAACCTAAAGGGGAACTTCAAAGGCCAACATATCCTTGGTTGTATGTGTGGTCCTGACAACCTCCTGCTCCAGAAATGTCAGGACATTGGATATGCCATTGGGAGCATCAGGCAGTCCAGTCTTTGCGGGGGAAAGGCCTAGAGATGAGGATCTGAGTCAGGCTGGCAAGGTTGGAGTCAGAAAGTGACCATTAGGCAGTTAGTCACTTTCAATTGACCACAAAGAAGTGTTCACAGTCACCAAAATAAAGAGGCTGACAACAACGGTGTCCCCTTAGGGCATTTTGACCAGGACTGTACCCTAAAAGAAATAAGGCAGCATCACATAAAGCAAGAGCCCCTCGCTAATCCATGAAGATGGAGGTGTCCTCATTCTGGCTGCAAAACAGGTGGAAAGGCTTCAGGGTGGCAACTCAGCTGAGGGAAGCGCAGTTCAGCTCCGAGCCCTCCTGGCTGTCCCCGGCCCCCTCCTCCAGTCCATCAGGGCTGTCGGTGATGTTGGGCTCGCTGGAGCACTGCCGGTGGGGTGGAGGGAAGCTGGGTGGCAGGAGCAGGCACTTGTCCTCACTGCTGGCCTCCTCCCCCAGGCCCGAGTGCATCATGGTGGCCATGGCCAGCAGCTGGATGTCCGAGTGGGCATTGGCCACCGTGTGCCGCCGCACACTGCCACACTTTTCCAGGTAGGCTTCCCCCTCCTGCTCCGTCAGTGGGGTCAAGGCCATCTCATTCAGTGGCCGGCTGACTGCAGTTATCGGGGAGGCATAGTTCAGGACAGTCACCTTGGGCCGGACCCTGGAGTGCCGCCTGGCTGCAAGAGGAAAATCAGCAAAGACTGTTATTAAAGAGAGGATATTGGTGCTCAAAAGCTCCGAATCCAGCTGAGGGGAAAAGAGCAAGGTGGTGGCTCAACCTTTAGGAGCAGCTCTTAGGCGCAGCCCAGCTACAATGCAAGGGACAAACTTGGTGATATCTAAATGTTTCTTTTGCAACTTTACCTGTCTTGGTTAGACAGGTAGATTCTGTGGCAGATTCTGCCCCTAATCAACCCTACGCCACATATTAGGTGGTCACCAAAAGACTTTCCTTGATAGATAAGGGTCAAAAGAATCTCCTGTGTTTCTCAGCTGCTGCCTGAGCTTCATTAGATTTGCCCTAAATTCCCTGTCAATGTCCTCTGAGGACTTGGGTATAGGATGGCCGGCTTTCAAAAGAATCAACCCTGGCTTCCTGCAGGAGTGGCCTCTGCCATGCCAATGGGTAACATAAAAGAGCCTTCATAAGCTGAAATCCAGAAGATGAGATAACTGGGGAGTTACCTCCATTGTCATAGCCAAGGCAGCAAGACTATCTTGCAAATTATACAGAACTGGGACTACCCATGGCCCTCATCTCCTGCCAGGTCAAGGTCTCAGATTTATGTTCTGTTCAAGTCAATTCTCCTGGAATCAAACAGCCATTAGCATCATCAAAGAACAGGCCAGGTTCTGTGGATTGCCCTAGGGAGGCAGACACAGGAGGGCTGGACACTAATTATAAAACTGCTGCTTTTTGGCTTGAGACAGAGTTTCGCTCTTGTTACCCAGGCTGGAGTGCAATGGTGCAAGCTCAGCTCACTGCAAACCTCCGCTTCTCAGGTTCAAGTGATTCTTCCGCCTCTGCCTCCTGAGTAGCTGGGACTACAGGCACCCACCACCATGCCCAGCTAATTTTTGTATTTTTTTCTAGAGACAAGGTTTCACCATGTTAGCCAGGGTGGGCCTAAACTCCTGACCTTGGGTGATCCACCCGCCTCAGCCTCCCAAAGTGCTGGGATTACAGGTGTGAGCCACAATGCCTGGCCTAAACTAACGCTTTTGAGTTCGCATCACAATCCAGAAACTGTGCTAAACCTTGACATGTTATCTTTTGAATCTCCCAAAAACTGAAGGTAAGTCATGGTATAGCATTAGCTTCCACTTTACAGATGAGAAAGCTGAGTATCGGAGAGGGAATAGCTTACACACAGTCATATAGATAGAAGGTAGTTTAAGCTGAGACTCAAACAAGGCTGTCTCACTCCAGACTCTTGCTCTTCTAGCTGCCCATGCAAGGCCCATGGATAACTAGGGTGAGCGAAGTAGCCGAAGGGAAGGAGAAGCCAAGCAGAGGGGCTCCGAGGGCTGGAAAAAGCATGCCCATCTGGAGATAGGAAACTTGCCAGGATGATGTACCCTGGAGAGGCGCCTTTAGGATGGCAGGACTCCCAGAAGTGGGGAAGGGGTGACAGAGCTGCTGAGATAGGTGCACCATCAGGTCACATCCTGGCTGGAACAGAGTCCAGGAGACAGTGAAGAGGTGCCCAGGCAGGCAGGATAGGCCGGCACAGGAGGGCCCTGGAATGGCAGATGGAAGCACCTGTGGTACATCAGACAGATCAGAGCAGAGCTGGGGGGAGGCAGTTAACATCACAGGTCATAGGGCATGATGGGCTGTGCGCAGGAAGCCTCCTCAGGCAGAAGTGGGGCAGAACAGGTTGGAGCCAGCGAGGCCAGCAGTGAGGAAAGCTAGGGAGAAGGCTCAGGTGTTATGTTCTATAATAAATATGGATTGCATGTGAAAAAAAGTCATGCTAATCTCAGAGTCAAAGTGAGAGGAGATCAGGAAAGGAAGTAGAGTTGTGGTGATGACGATCAGGTGAGGAAGATGACTGCTGAAGACACCATAGACACTGATACCAGAGAACCCTGCAACTCGGCCAGCACAGTGGCTCACATCTGTAATCCCAGCACTTTGGGAGGCTGAGGTGGGCAGATCACCTGAGGTCAGGAGATCGAGAGCAGCCTGACTAACATGGTGAAACCCTGTCTTTACTAAAAATACAAAAATTAGCCAGGTGTAGTGGTGGTTGCCTGTAATCCCAGCTACCCAGGAGGCTGAGGCAGAAGAATTGCTTGAACCTGGGAGGTGGAGGTTGCAGTGAGCAGAGATCGTGCCATTGCACTCCAGCCTGGGCAACAGAGTGAGACTCTGTCTCTAAATAAATAAATAAATAACTTGTTCAACATTGCAAAGAAGAGGCAAAGCTGGCGCTGGAGCACAGATGGCAGCTTCCAAAACCCAGGTGAGCCCCACTGCCTTTCCAGAAGGAAGGAAACCCTAGGGTGGGTCAGAGGGGCAGGAGAAGAACCAAAACACTCAGGTAACCGAAGCCGGGGGAGCAGAGTCCCAAGGGAGGAAGCAAATCTGACAGCAATACCCCTACTCCCAAAGCCTCTCCTCTCCCACCTTCACATGGGCTGTGCCAGGGCAGAAACCTGCAGTTTGGAATAGTGTAAGCACCATGACAAGGCTGGGCCCTTGATCCCAGGGAATTTCCCTGACCCATGCTTCTCTAGAGGCAGTGTTGCCTCCTCTGCCACCTAGGCCCAGCATCATGTCACGAGCTGGGTGGCTTTGGACCTGAAAGAGGCAGAGGCGTGGGATGGTCCGGCCATGTAGCCGGTCTGGCCTGGGAGAGAATGAATTTGAAGGCATGGCCACAGGAGAAACACAGCTTCAGAAGGCTGGGGGATGGATGGGTTCTGTTCCAGGCCTCCTCTTCTTTTCAGCCTCTCTTTCTGCCAGAGCACACCTCTCCCCAGCTTCCCAATCACACACCCCATTTCACCTGTCCCTGCCTTCCACAGTACCCATATCTCTCATACCCTGAAGACCCAAGAGAAGCATGTTCCCTTTGCCAGCAGGACAAGGCAGTGGGGAGAAAGGGAGCGGGGCTGATGGTATCAGTATTCCCGCCACACTTGGGACAGGATGGGGATCACCCCGCTTTCCAAGGGGAAAGCAAACCATGCGGTTCACAGGCTGGCCGTGGGGACACGTGGCTCATTCTGCTTTAGTTTACTCTCTGCTCTTCCGGTGGAACTGTAGAGCCCTAGACACGTGTGTCAGCCACTTCCAGAGCTCATGCTCCCAGAAGGAGATCACAGCAAGACCTGCCCACATCCATCTGCAAAGCTCACAGCAGCTCCTGCCATCAGACTGTGGTGTGTGTATAAATAATGAAGAGAATGACATTCTAACCCTTTGGACTAAATCTCCAAGTCTACTGGCTCAAAAGCCCAAGGGACCTAGCTGGTGGCAACAATAACACTTTTTCAGAATCAAAGGATAATACATAGAATTTAGAGTATAGAGTGTGTTCCTATCCATGATCTCGCCTTTTAGTCCCAATCTCCCTCCAAAACAGAGTTGTTCTCAGTATGCCCACCACACAGATGAGGAATACTGAGGCTCAGCCCCAGTTCTCTTAGGTTTTAGACAGCAGTTCCCAGACTTTCCCCACTACACGCTGCTGTGTCTCAGGGCACTGCTGCTGCCCTCAGAAGACATGTTTCTTGAACCAGCGCACTCTCTGAAGTCAGGTAATAGCAGCAGATGCTAGACAAGAGGCTGGAACTGGCTCCCCTGCTTTGGAGATAGACAAACCCCAAGGAGCAACCAAAAAAGAATCTACACCAGGCACGGGCAGCAGTTCTTTCTGAAGCATGGATGCTCGTACTCTCTGACTTACACATTTCTATAATGTCCCCACATTCCCATAATGTTCCCACATTCTTATAATAACCCCGTTTACTTTTATGATCTCCAAAAATCAATAACTATAAAACAGAAGCACCAGAAGAGTTCAAAGCAGCAAGGATCCCATTGAAAAACTGTCCTTAAAAAAATGCCGTTGAAAACGATTTATTTCTCTCTCACTGCTGCTAAAACTACACACTTCAGATTGCTGTTGGGAAACCCATCTTGGGGCCTGTACCCTACAACCAGCCTAACAGGAGACTGCACAAGACCCGTGATGAGCATTTGCTGTGTGCAGATGTCTGTGCTCCTGAGACTGGGTACCTGCCTGCCAGGACGGGTTTGTGCAGAGGGTAGGGCCAGAGAGGCCGACAGTAGCAATATCATTTCTACTGTGGCTAGAGTCCGATAATGTTTTATAGGAGTATGGGGGACTCCTCCCTTTGGGAAAGGGGTATCAGGAAAGATACAGTATTAATGTTAGATTTTACAACATGGCTGAAACTTGGAGGAAAGACTGGGACCAGAGAGGACAGAGGGTAAATTGAGGGAACAGGAAATCAACTTGCATGGCAGACACGTGCAGCATCTTTGGAGGAAGTGAGAATTTGTCTGATGATTGCCGCAGGTCTCAACCCACTGGGATGAATCAGGGAAAGATGTCTCCAGTGGTCCTTGGAGGGCCCAGGCAGCAAACGGACAAGGGAAGCCACTCTGGCTGCTCACGGGCCAAGAGCTGGAGCCAGAGTTGGGGGGCTGCCCTGGAGGAGGAGACCCCAACACCACCTGTCCCCACCTTCAATAAACACTACTGGCTGTGTGCGGTGGCTCATGCCTGTAATCCCAGGACTTTGGGAGGCCAAGGCAGGCAGATCACGAGGTCAGGAGTTCAAGACCAGCCTGGGTAACAGGGTGAAACCCTGTCTCCATTAAAAATACAAAAAAAATTAGCTGGGTGTGGTGGCGGGGGCCTGTAATCCAAGCTACTTGGGAGGCTGAGGCAGGAGAATTGCTTGAACTCAGGAGGCAGAGGCTGCAATAAGCCGAGATTGCACCACTGCACTCCAGCTTGGGTGACAGAGCAAGACTCTGTCTCAGGAAAACAAAACAAAAAATAAGCACTGCTACCTGTACATGCAAAATGCTGCACTAGCTGCAGAGAGGAAAAGGAACATAAGTCTGACGTGGGGCCTGCAACAGGGGCTTGAGCCCAGCACACGTGTGTACCTCCATGCATGTGTGTGCACGTGT